TTCAGAGTGTGTGAGGCTGTGCTGAGTGGGGACATTCAGGGTGATCCTCGTACGTGCACGCATGAGACAGTGAGGGAGAGAGTGAGGCTGGTGGTCGAGACCGTGTTCGGCGGCCATAGCCGCAAGTTGTGCAGCTGTTAAGATTGAGTTTAAGACAAGTTCATTGTTGTTTTTTTGAGTTGAAAGAGTACAGTCTTGCCATCGTTTCTCAAGTGTGCATGTTGTGAGCAAGTCCAGAGTTGAGTCTGATTGCAATATCCTTGTTGTGAGTGATAATCCTTGCTCCCCCTTAAGGTTAAACTCTGAGAACCTCATTGGTGGGTATGCTGCCCATGGTGCCTCGCATGCATGACTTCCAGTGTCGAGGATGAGCATGTCATCCCCACCTGACCAATGTCGTCTCCTTGCCTTCCTTCGTTCTTTTTTTTTTTTTGTTTGTTTGAAAGACAAGCTCCATCTATTGGTGGGGAGCAGCACCTGCTGGAAACCGGGTCCAGCGTCCCATAGATACAACTTTTCTTGACAGGTTGGCACAAAACTGGGAACCGGGCCTATATATCTTCTTTTCCCTTTCCTCTGGGGACGACGTAGCTTCACCCTACTGGGGCCACATGCATCACCTCTGCAAAATGCTGTTGAAGCCTCATGGTCGTCCCTGAAGAGTCATGTCACAGAACCACCACTGCCAACTATGGTGTCACTTGTTGGGGCCACCCATATCAGCAAGTTCTAAGAAATGCCTCTTCACCACCTCTGCACCGCGCTTCAGCATCCTTCAAGGGCACAGAACTACAGGGACAGTGGCAGAATGATGGTCTCTCTCTCTCTCTCACACACACACACACACACACACACACACACACACACACACACACACACACACACACACACGCACACACACACACACATACACACACACAAACACACACGTAGACCTGCGGGGCAGCCACCTTTGCAGTATTTGCATGAGTAGCAGCCACTCTGAGCACAAGTGCGCCTGGTCGGCCTCAGCTTCTTGCATCTGACCCACCCACTTCTCACTCACTTTGCCCTGACTGCTCCCCTACTCAACTGACAATCATCCACCTTCTGATAATTTGATGGGGCCCCTGACTGGAGATGATCTCTCTCTGGAAAACATGCTAGAGTCAATGGAGTTAATACAGTGAGAGGAACCTGACAGAAATTGTGAAGACCGGATGGAACCTTCCCTTACTGTGCGATCTGCAGAATTGAATTAACCTCCCCCTGCCGTGAGATCTACAGAATCAAACGATCTGATAGTGCTACAGCAAGACCATAGTGCGTACTATGCAATTAATGTATGTCTGCGGGCTTACAATTGCAAGTTTGCAACCCCTGTACTGTGTCTGAATTTGCAGACGTTGTCCGCTGGATGGAAGAAGACGATGTAGTCTGCCCAGAGGACAACAGTACTGCACCTGGTGTGAACATAGGAGTCCTGTCTGTGGGATTTATGGGAAGAGGACTGCAATTGCAGCCTTCTCCACAGATTTACACCCCAGACATGGACCCGAATATCCGTGTGTACATTCTGCATCATCCAGGTCATTTCATTGCTGCTACCTTTGCGGATAATTTGTGGACCCTATGGGACAATGGCGGTAGGGTGGACACTGTGGGAAATATTAACTCTTTCTATCACCGAGTCGCAGGATCCAACTCGGTCTGGCTGGTCAATCAGGAACAATATGTAGATGTGCACTTGCGAGCTCTATAGCCTCCGTAAAACTAGCCGGCTGAACCTCCCCCATCCCCTGTACATAGCCAGGCAGCGTCCCCTCCCTGTGTAGGGCAAATTCTACCACATATAGTGAAGTGCCCGCTCCAAAGGATTGTGGCTGTGACATGCGACTGTGTCTCCACATAGCCACAGTTCGGTTAGCATGCATAAGGCATAATCTCTGCTTGGAACACTATGCAGGGATGGTAACCGGCAGCCTCTGCCGTGAAAATTGCGACCCATTGTTTTGCACTCATTCCCCCCACCCCTGTATTACCTGCCTGATATGCTGTTGTGGGACTTACATGCTATCTTAAATAGCTACAAACGTCAGCCTTCTTTCCTGCTCGTTTGTCAGCAACGTGCCATGTGTCGTCAATGTTTTCAGGAAGCTGTCATTGACAGTATGTATCACTACTGCATGGACTATCCCTGATGCCATCACCCTTCACATCTTTCCTATCATGTCCCATATGCAGCGTTGGGCATACACCTGTTGCAACGATGGTTGGATCTCCTTTGTCTTTGCCAGACGAACAACAGATGCAGTAGCCTGAGGAGGTAAATAGATTATCACAAGAACCACCTACAGTGCACTATACTGAGAGTTTATCACCACCAGGGCGAGCTGTTGCAGACCAAATCTTGCAACAGGTAAACACCCTTACCTTGGATCAGCCCTCGTCTTCGCCAGCCCATAGAGAGGGAGTAATGACTGTGGAAACTCAAGAAACTTCCTCAATGCCGCTCTGTGATGGGCCACATGAGATTGGGTAGCATGTGATTCACATGCTTTGCGTAGCAGATGTTTAAAAAAATTAAAATAATAATAATAATAAATAAATAAATGAAGGCATAGCCCATGCAAGTTTTTGTTTTCATACATCAGATGACAGTTAGCATTGCACTTGTGAATGCCACCCTGACATGTCATGTCCAATTTGTAGACGGCCTGGTACGACAATGCCTATTCAATTGTGGTCACCGTGCCTCTGTGTTCCTAGCATGTAGGAGCCATGTACCCTGTGAAATCTTTCTATGCCATGCCATCCGATGCAGCAACTGCAACTGTGAGAATTGGTTGTGGTGCTTCCACAGTCCACACCCGAACTGTTCCTGTCCAGTCTGTAGGCGTGGCCACTTCCCATAGGCAATGGCTCCTCCGCAACTCAACCCAAACACTGACCGATCTCTTGTGCCATTCTAGAGTTGTCTGCTTCAGCAGTGAGTATTGAGAACCCTGTGAAGTTCGTCATGCCGCTATTCTGTTGTTTGCCCTTCTATTTCCCTCCTCTACTCCTCCCTCCCCCAACCCCTCGCTATCTTCTACCCCTTTCCTTCCTCGAATCTTTCGAGAGCTGCCATTCCATTTTTTTTGAAACCGAAACAAAGACCATTTATCGTTGGTTTAACGGCGCACGACGGTGCGCCGGTTTGCACACGAGTTGCGCACGTAGTGCCGCGCACCGCACAGCGCACAGCAGCGCCCCGAACAGCAAAAAATAGGGGTATGGAGAAAAAAAAATAAAATTGGTTTTCGTTTGGAAGGCGGGCCCCAAACCCCGACAAAAATGACGGCCGGGGCGCGCGAGTCGGGAAACCGGCTGCACCCCGC